GCATCTCATCCCAAACACAAGTGCTGATATTCCTCTGACAACAACAACAACAAAATTATTTATAGAGCTCCTTTCACGTAGGGAGGACGTCCCAAAGCGCTGAACAGTCAGATGTCGGGGCCCGAGCATGGGGGAAGGATGGTGTAGGGGTGAGGGAAGGAGAGAGGTGGGAGGAAGACCAAAGGCACAGTCGAAGAGAAGGGTCTTGAGACCGGCCTTGAAGGATGCAAGGGAGGAAGCGAGGCGAAGGCACTGTGGGATGGAGTGAACCAAAATATTGCATGGTGGTGTATCAGGGAAAGGTCTGTGCCAGAACCTCCCATGTCGCTTTTATATGTATCAATGCTATGCAGTATCAATGCCAGATATTTTGATTTGCAGATGATGTGAGGTTAAGAGAGACTGTGGAATCAGAATAAGCCACAAATGACCTGCAAATGGAATTCAATAAAAGAAATTGCTCAGTTTTAAATTAGAAAGCAAAAGTATAAGACAATTGTACTCCATGGGTGAAATAGAAATTATCAAGGGAATTTTTAAAACAACAACAACAATAACAACAAGATTCCATTTATAGAGCGCCTTTCACGTCGGGAGGACGTCCCAAGGCGCTGTACAGTTGGGTCAGGACCCGAGCAGGGGGGAAATGGTCAGGGTGAGGGGAGGGAAGGGAGGAAGCGAGGAGGGGGTAGAGAGTCGAGAGGGGAGCTGAAGGCACGATCAAAGAGAAAGGTCTTGAGACCGGCCTTGAAGGAGGAAAGGGAGGAGGCGGCGAAGGCACTGGGGGATAGAGTTCCAGAGCCTAGGGGCTGAGAGGCTGAAGGCCCGACCACCGATGGTAGGGCGGTTGGGGCAGGGGATGTGGAGCAGACTGGAGCCAGAGGAACGGAGGGTACGGGCAGGTAGGTAGGGGGATAGTAGGTCAGAGAGGTAGGAGGGAGCAAGGCCGTGAATGGCCTTGTAGGTGAGGATGAGGAACTTGAATTCGATCCTCTGGGGGATGGGGAGCCAGTGGAGGCGAGCGAGGGTGGGAGTATGTGGTCCCGAAGCCTGGTGCGGGACAGTACACGAGCTGCAGAGTTCTGAATGACCTGCAGCTTGTGGAGGGAGATGCCGGGAAGGCCGGCGAGGAGAGAGTTCCCATAGTCCAGCCTTGAGGTGATAAAGGCGTGGACCAGAGTTTCAGCAGCGTGAGGGGTGAGGTAGTGCCGTAGTCTGGCGATATTCCGGAGGTGATGGAAGGCGGTGCCAGTTGTGGCGCGGATATGAGGGAGAAAGGATAGCTCAGGGTCGAACAGAAAGAGACCAAAGGGCATCTTTCAATTTATTGTCACACCGTTGAAACACTGAATTAGAAATAATCAAGGCAAAGAGGGATTCTTAGAACACCAAATCATTTGAGATCAGATCATCAAATGTCATGTCCAAGTTGCTCAGGGCTCTGGTCATGCTGCATACACATCTGATCACTGCAACATAAATTGGATCCCAGAGGCAGGTCCAGAAGAGAGCAATGAAACTGACTACTAGCATGAGAGGAATGAGCTATGAGCAAAGATAAATATGCTTGGGATATTTAGGATTGCAAAGACATATCTCAGAGGTGACCTTGTAGATTTACTCTAATAACAATAATAATCTTTGCATTTGATGTAGTACTTATCACATCAGAAAGGCATCTCAAAGTGCTTCACAGGAAATACTACAAAGTGTAATGTCTGTCTATTTTCAAAATAAAGATAGCAAAAGAAATAAGGATTAGGAAACACGTGAGACATTTACTTTTAGTAAAAAAAAAGATGAAAAACAAGCCGATCAGATGTCCAACACATATTGTGAAATTTGAAACGTCAGAGTTCAGAAAAGGAACTAGATAAGTTCCTGTCAACCAAACAGATTGCAATGTGTTAAATTTAATGCTTTACACATCAAAAGAAAGAACTTGTATTTTGTAGCACTTTATCATGCCAAATTGCCTCAAAGATAATTATTGTTAAATTTGGTGAATTTTTTTTGGAATTATAATAATAAATAATCCTGCATTTGACAACAACAAACAACACATTACATTTTGTATAGCGCCTTTCACTTCATGAGGATGCCTGATATAATGCCTTTTACATCATGAGGACATCTCCAAGTGCTTCACAGAATATATTGTAAACTATAGTGATTGTATTTTGCAGGCAAAGAGCCAATTACATATACCAAGATCCCACAAATATCAACAATGAAAATGACCAATTCATTTGGAGAATTGTTAGTTAGAACACTCCCTTTGATTATGAATTATCTGTATATTACAAATATATATTGTATGAAAGGGTCTGCAGTACTCCCGGGCATTGCTGATGACAGACCAGCCAGCTTGACTCATCATTAGGTTTTGAAGGGACAGATCGGTCACTGGGGGGAGAATTTTATCCCACTCAGTTTGTGTTAACCTTTGTAAGCCAAAACCTTAATGGGTAGCTCAACAAGTCTGGCGATCAAGCAGCAGGAAGCTTTCATACTGTGTTTTCAATGACAAGCTTTGTGGTTTTAGCTGGTCAGACTTCAGCAGTAATCCAATGTACATTCTGCGGTCCCCAAATCTTGGCTCTTGCCAACCTGGCCTCATACTCCCAGGTTAAGCAGGATGTATTGTCCAGGGAGGGAGTGTACATTTTATTCTGCACACAGGGCAATTTCCATGTGTAGGTGGTATACATATGTAGAGCTCTCAGTGTGGTTTGGATACTCTTAAACATGGGGATGAGTTTCCAAAAAAAAGGACTGTATGAACCAATCTTTGCACAGTGCTCTGAGACAATACCCTACATGAAGAGCACTATAATCAATGCAAGTTTTTTGTTGAATACAGTATTTGGAAATTTAACATCCTTCTGAACTGGGAATTTAATATGTTATTACCTTAGAGTGTCAGCCTGAACTATGTTCTTGAGGCCCAAGATAGGACTTGAACCTCAACTAGCTTGAACCTACTGAGACACAACCTAACATCAAAGAAATCCTATGCGAAATTAAACAGCCAGGCTGAGTTAACTGATGATCTACTCTTGCCTGAAATTGTTGTGGAATACACCTGAAGTAGGTCTTGGTTGTTCACAGTTTTATAGTTGCTGGACTATTTCATTCAGAGATTTTTTTCTTTGAATTCTTTCAAAAGTAAATGACTCAACCACACTTGTTAGTACATGTTCTTTTCTCGCATAAACTGTTGACGGGAAAAGATCCAGTGAGTAATTCCAGTTCTGACACTCTTTAAGTAGAATTGCCTTAAGATCACAAAAGAGCTGAGTTTTCGGCCCATTTGTTTCCTTCCTTTGGGAATATCAGGCTGTTTATTAAATGAGTCCAGCATCCTTACCTGAGTCACCCTTCCTGGTAACCCTTTTCAGTCATTAATTACCCTGTCCAAATTCCGTGGCATGATTTGAAAAGAGAAGAGGCTTTCTCTCAGTGTCCTGGCCAGCCAACAATCCCCCAAATAATTTTGGTCATTCGTGGTTGTTTGTGGGACATTGCTGTATTGGAAATTGGCAGCTGTGTTCACTTACAAAATACATAGTCACTGCACTTTACAGTATATCCTGTGAAGTACTTTAAGAAATACAATATAAAATTATATTTGCATAATGCCTTTCATGTCAGGAGGACGTCCTTGTGATTTGAAAGACGCTATACCAAATTCAAGGATTATTATTATTACCTTTCTGGGTAAAAAAATACTTCCTGATGTCTGTCCTGAAATAATTCTTTGCAACCGCAATCATGTGGTCTGGTGTATTTGAAAGCATTATTAAAAGTTTACTTTTCAACCCTATTTAAAATCTTGGCTATCTCTATAAGGTGAAAAACAAAGTCCCCATTTCTTTCAAGGCTTAAGTGATAATGATCCTTGCATTTGATACAGCACCTTATCACGTCATTGAGATGTCTTAAAGTCCTTCACAGGGTATACTGTAAAGTGGATTGACTGTAATTTGTATGCAAAATGCCCTTTCTGATCTTATTCATGGAATACTTGCCTAGCTTAATCTGAGTCAGACGACTATCTTGTGAATAAGCAGTACTAATGACAAGTCATATTCAAACGATAGTATCACCTATTTATCTGTTCAGATCCTGCTATGTTTTTTTCAAAAAGAAATCTGGTATGATTTCACATTTTTACTTTATTTACATGTTTGCTTTAAGCGCTCTGAGATGCTGCCCCTGTGAAGGGCCAAGTTGTTATTGTTGCTGGTTACAAATTATTAAAACTATTTACATCCTCTGAATCAAACATCCCAAGTGACCAAAACCACGCCTTCAAGGAAACTCCGAAACCCCAAACTCTCTTGTAGTGTGCATGGCAAGTTGTAATTGAAGTCCATTTACAATGGTAAATGATTACTTGGGGATCATAAACCATGGCTTTGTGCCACTGAATAGTAAACAAAAAATCAGTGGCTAATTTAGAATACAGCATCTAAACTAAACTTTTCTCCCCATCTGCCAGAGTTTCAATTCCTCTTTGCTCAAGCACAGGAACTCACTTCAACTTTCCTCCCCCCCCCCACCACCCCTTTTCCCCTGACAGCCTTGTCTGGTGTTGAGTTATGAGTGCTGAGATCCAGTGCATATTTTTTTCTCTCTTACAACCCAGAGTAAAGCTGGAGGCTGCAACGTTGCAGAGAGAGGAGGCAGATCTCTGCACTGGTCTCAGCTGCTGGGTTTCTTTGGAGGGGAGTTTGGTGGTGTCCTGCCCCAGTCCTCATACCCCCTCCTTCTCCCAGACAGACAGACAGACAGACAGACATCTCAAGTGACGTTGTCGTTTTCACTGAAGAAGTTCCCAGAGAGAGAAGTGCACTGGACTGGGAGCTGCTGCACACAGTCAACTGAAATGTGGCCATCCAGGAGAAGCCAAACCTCCAAACTGGGGCTTTTCTTGACTCCCACCTCCTGAAGCTCCATCACCCCCACCCCACCCCACCCCCCACCCCAACCACAAAACAACCCTTCCCTTCCCATTCCCATGGATCTTGGACATTCGTATCCATTCGGGATTCGTATCGGAAAGGAAAAGGTAAGAGGAATTGGGGGGAGAAATGCAATTGGGGGTTGGGGGGTGGAGGGGTGGGGGGATCGCTGGCTGTTTCCAACGTGTTGTGCCTCTGTGTGTTTGGGAACATATTCACTGCATCACAGACGGGATCTCTCTCTCTCTCTCTCGTTTATTATGAAAAGTACAAGAGAGGAGAAGGGGAGAGAGGAGAGAGGGAGGAGAGGGGAGAGGACAGGAGGGGAGAGGGGGAGAGGACAGGAGGGGAGAGGGAGGAGAGGAGGGGAGAGGGGGAGAGGAGAGGACAGGAGGGGAGAGGGAGAGGGGGGAGAGGAGGGGAGAGGGGGAGAGGAGAGGAGGGAGAGGGGAGAGGAGAGGAGGGGAGAGGGGGAGAGGGAGGACAGGAGGGGAAAGGGGGAGAGGAGGGGAGAGGACAGGAGGGGAGAGGGGGAGAGGGAGGAGAGGGGGAGAGGGGAGGAGGAGAGAGGAGAGGAGAGGAGAGGGGAGAGGGGAGATGAGAGGCGAGGGGAGGGGAGAGGGGAGAGGGAGGACAGGAGGGGAGAGGGGAGGGGAGGAGAGGAGGGGAGAGGGGGAGAGGAGAGGAGAGGGGGAGAGGGAGGAGAGGGGGAGAGGGAGGACAGGAGGGGAGAGGGGGAGAGGACAGGGATACAGTGCGCGATCTCAGAGGCGATGTCTTGAGTGTACAGGGAATGAGCACACCCCGAGGGGGATGTTAGTTGTTCCCCTTCTCCGCTGCTTTTGTGTGTCCCGATCTCTCTCAGTGGGGAACGAGTTAAAACGTGGACAGGGTTAGGGTTCTTTTTTGGGGGTGGGGGGGGGGGGGGGGGTGACAGAGTGAGATCAGGTCAGTTTCCTATCCCCCCCCCACACCCCCACACCCCCACACCCCCACCACATTGTCCCTAAACAAATAAGTTTGCAGGTTGCAAAGTACAAAGTGATGTGGAGGAGTGTGTGGGGGGAGAGGGGGAGAGTGTGTGGGGGAGAGGGGGAGAGTGTGGGGGGAGAGGGAGAGAGTGTGGGGGGAGAGGGGGTGGGAGAGAGAGGGAGTGTGGGGGGAGAGGGGGTAGTGTGGGGGAAAGTGTGGGGGGAGAGGGGGAGAGTGTGGGGGAGAGTGTGGGGGAGAGGGAGAGAGTGTGGGGGAGAGGGGGTAGTGTGGGGGAGAGGGGTAGTGTGGGGGGAGAGGGGGTAGTGTGGGGGGAGGGGGTAGTGTGGGGGAGAGGGGGTAGTGTGGGGGAGAGGGGTAGTGTGGGGGGAGAGGGGGTAGTGTGGGGGAGAGGGGGTAGTGGTGGGGGAGAGGGGTAGTGTGGGGAGAGGGTAGTGTGGGGGAGAGGGTAGTGTGGGGGGAGAGGGGGTAGTGTGGGGGAGAGGGGGTAGTGTGGGGGAGAGGGGTAGTGTGGGGGAGAGGGGGTAGTGTGGGGGAGAGGGGTAGTGTGGGGGGAGAGGGGGTAGTGTGGGGGGAGAGGGGGTAGTGTGGGGGGGGGGGGGGGGGAGAGGGTAGTGTGGGGGAGAGGGGGTAGTGTGGGGGGAGAGGGGTAGTGTGGGGGAGAAGGGGTAGTGTGGGGGAGAGGGGTAGTGTGGGGGAGAGGGGGTAGTGTGGGGGAGAGGGGGTAGTGTGGGGGAGAGGGGGTAGTGTGGGGGAGAGGGGGTAGTGTGGGGGGGTGAGAGCTGGGGCTTGTGGTTGGCTCTGGTCTGTCTTGTAAAGTCTTTGTCCACAATACGTGTGTGAAGGGAACCAGGGAACAGAGAGGGCACCAGGGACTAACCTCCTGTGTTTGCATCGCCTTGTGTCGATGGCTTTTGCTTTTCTATGATTACTACATGTGTTGGCAACTGTGTTCTCTCTGTGTCTGTCTGTGTCTCTGTGTCTCCGTCTGTGTCTCTGTCTGTGGGGTCAGAATGGAAAAGCAGCTCTATCTGGGTCTGATGGTGGGACCCACCAGCAGCTTAACTCCAGTCACTTAAAAACTTTCAGAAAGTTTTAAGGGTTGGGGGTATCACTGGCAGGAACATGTCTTTTACTCTCTGTGGCAAAATATTTAGGGGCACAAAGTGGGTTCAGTGATCGCTTTAATAGGGCTTCGGGTGATGGAACTGCAGTCGCCAGAACAATTAAATCTCCCATCTTGATCTCAATGAGAGCTCTTGAAAATAGCCAGAGAAACCCTGCGTTCCGAGGCGTCTTTTTTTGTATTTGCCAACACTTGGGATAAGCTGAAACTATCTGGAACGTTTAACCCCTTCGTTACCCGTTTGCAATGCAAAGCAAGCTGTGTTAAGGGTAACCGACTGCTGTGGGAAAAATAGTCCAAACCAGATAAAACAGTGCTGTTCGGAGACGGTGTCTTGTTAAATTCATCCTGAAATTACAGTTCGCCTGAAAACACACTGTCACTGGACTTCACAGTAAAATCCTGTGAAGGAAGCGCCTTGAGATTTCTCAACAACAATAACAACAACAACAAGTTACATTTGTATAGCGCCATTCACGTCAGGAGGACGTCCTAAAGTGCTGGACAGTCAGGGATCTGCACCCGAGCAGGTGGTTGGGATTAGGAGGGGTGGAGGGGCGGCGTGGGAGGAGTAGAAGGGTGATCAAAGGCAAGGTCAAAGAGAAGGATCTTGAGATGGGTCTTGAAGGAGGCAAGGGAGGGGGCGTGGTGGAGGGACTGTGGGATAGAGTTCCAGAGGGTGGGGGCAGAGAGGCTGAAGGCCTGCCCGCCAATGGTGGGGTGGGCAAGGCGGGGGACGGGAAGCAGGCTGGAGCCTGCTGAACAGATGGAGCAGACAGGTTGGTAAGGAATTAGGAGGTCGTAGAAATAGGGAGGCCTTGATGGTGAAGACCAGGATCTTGAATTGTATCCTCTGAGTGATGGGGAGCCAGTGGAGCAACATGATTAGGAGCTATATCAATTGCAACGATTATTATATTATTTGAAATAAAGCGCTTGTATTTTAGCATGTGGGAAAAAAAACACCAGCATATATTTCTGTGTAACATAAATCTGTTCCAGGGTCCATTATGTGAGTCATGTAAATCACGTGTTAGAGGAAATAGAGGAAACAATAATTGTATAATAAAAAATGAAAGCATTTTTAGTACTGCCTATTAGCTATATAAACAAGTCCATCCTTAATGTATTGTTCAACAGCTCACATAATAGAAAAGCTTTACATGTGGTTTACACAACTCACATGATGCATTCCAATATAGATCACTGGCCCTACTCAGTAAGACCAAGATAACCCTTGCACATTGTGCTTTGCATCATTCTGATTTTGTCATCATTGCATAAACAGTATGTGAATTAAAGAAATTGGAGTATCATTGCTAGGGACATGACAACACGTTCATCATGAACAAATTGTGCTGACACATGTCGTGGGAAGGACAGAACCTGTGCCTCTATGTCACCCAGAGTCACACTTGAGGGAGTCTGTCTCAGCTGTGTTTACAATTATAGAAAAATAATGAAAGCAAAATCGCTCACCACGTTGAGGCAAAGCCTCAGAGGCCACAGCCTTTGTTTAACGGAATTCTGAAAGTGTAAGAGTGTAGGAAATTGTTGTCGTCGTAGTTTATTATTAAAATAATGTTTATTTGACTCTCCAGAAGCTTAGATGTGACATACGACTCACAAGTTAACATTTGTAATTTTAGTTTTTTTTATGTATTATCTTTGTCTTTTGTCAGGAAAACTGTGGTAGAAATTGTGCCTCAAAACTGAAAAAAGTCCTTAGAATATAAAAGGCATCAACTGTAGGGAATCCCCGAACATCATGCCAATTTACAAGAACTTGGTTCACAGATGTTCTTGGGTTGGAGATGAGGTTTTATAATAATAATAATCTTTGCATTTGATATAGCACTTTTTTACGTCTTTGAGACATCTTAAAGTGCTTCAAAGAATATACTGTAAATTGAATTGACTGTATATTTGTGGGCAAAACCCCACAAGGTGATGTTCCTGAGGGTACCATAGAAGAGATGCACTTTATGTTCCCCAAAGCTTTCCCCACTGCTGAAGCTCCATTTACACTGATATTTTCGTGAAGAGCATTGCACAATAGGAAATACATAAAAATAATAAAGATTGATGTAAGCTCAATTTTGAAATAGTATCACTGGTATATTAGTTTTCAATTACTGGACCTTAATAAACTGACTGTCTCCCAAGGCATCAAGCCTGGAACTTGTTAGCTTCCTCATTTGCCTTACTGCTATCTACAGAGACGATTAAAACTTGTGCTTGGATTGGCTTAACCATATAATTTATCCTGTCTTCGTCTATTCTTTTCAGCTTCTGTTTTTGACCAGCATTGTTTGGCCTTCAGTGTCCTCTGGTCTTCTAGGTGCCAAGAACCTTCTGGCCTCTATAGCTCTTATCCGGTGGTTGAGTGTGGGAACAGAGTAAAGCAGAGTGCTGAGATATGCACAAGACAGGACACCGCAAGCTGCTTTCATAAATTTCCTGGCAATCAGTTAAAGAGATAAATAGTGATAATATTCCTCTCACTTGATTCAGCGTTTTTCATGTCGTGAGAATGTGTCAAATCGCTTCACAGGATATACTTTAAAGTATAGTGACTGCATCTTTTGTGGGCAAATGGAGCTCAGGGAGCAGGTTTTCTGCCTGCCCTTTCTGAGCTGAAGTGTATCATGCAACCAATTTGCTTATGAAAATGTAATGTTGGGAGCTGATAAACCTCAGCAAAACCCATCCTTTGAACCCAGCTTGTTTCTGTGATATTTTGTAGTAGTTAATACAAGTGACTGAATTAGCACATTATAGGAGTGAGGAGATGTGGTACGTGATATCACAAGTGGTAATTCTCACAAGGTGGGACACTCTACATCTGCGATGTCTTGGTTGATGTCTGCCATGAATAAGCAGTTCTCTTTCCCCTGCCCCTTCAGATTTTGTTCAAATGGTTTCATCCAAAGCTGATTGCTGCAGCCATTGGGCTGGTTGGAGATATCTTTGAACTTGTCACCACACACA